TCATACTTTCCTAACAACTTTAACTTAATCATCTTTTTAAACATATAAATTGTTTTAGAAATTTTTATGGCGATATCAAGACAATTCCACAATCCTGTTCCCTGAATTACAACGCAGCTCCTTCACACTAGTTCTAAATGGAGGTTTTACTAACATTTCCATTCCCTTAAAGTTATAATGACTTTTTTTTAAACAAATTTTAATTTAATATTTGGGAGTAATATTTTTATGAGCTTTATACAAATACTATATTCAACCAAATCATGAAATTTTAATAATTTCAACTGAGAAAGGTTGAAAGAATGAATGATGCAATAATATATTTGGTGGGTGACCATTGCACTTCCTATTAATAATTCTTATAGCTCTTTTTTGTCAAATTAAAATTAGGTTTGTAATTGTGTTGCATGATTTTCCCCAAACTTCAATACAATAGATTAAACATGAAACAAACACTACATTATACACTATATATAAAGCTTTGTCATTCAAAAACTCTTGTATTTTATTTTGCTATTTTTATTCTTAAGTAATTGACATGAGATTTCCATGTCATCTTCTCATCAATAACGACATATATTAATAGTTTTAACTTGAAACACCATAACAGAACCCATGCATCAGACGTTTGCTGCATGTGTTTCTCTTTTGCTACAGCTGGGGTGTTTCAGGGACACGTTGGCTCAGACTTTATTGTGCTTCATCTTCTGACTCTCAGCAGATTTTATCAAGTGGAACAAGTTCGATGTGTTCCCACCGCTCCGTCACATTTTGCAGCACACTGACTGAAACCTGCAGTTTATCAGATCCTAGAAAGCCGAACCACTTCCACACCACCGAATGAGTCTTTCCTCTCTTCTCAGTGATGTCGTCTTCTTTCTCTTCGCTTGTGAAAGCTTGTTCAGTCACATTCTGACGGTCACGGGAACTCATTTTGAAGCAAAAACTTAACGCGTGTTGGAGATTAGCCTAGCCTGCTACCACTGACTCTTTCTGGACTCTAGCTCTGTGTAACATCTGTGTCACCACGCACGTACGCAGTTGTGTCGCAGCTTTTTTTGTTTCTGAACAGAAAAAGAAATGTGTCAGTGAAACGCTGTAATCATATCGAAATATCGAAAATGTGCTTAAAACTCATATCGTTATCGAATAAAAGTTTTTCGTGAATTATATTGATATTGAATTATTGTCCAGCTGTACTCTTCAGATGTACCAATGCTGTGTGTGTGCTTGTTTATGTTACTTTGTGAGAACCAAAGCCCGGTCCCTGTAAGGTTCAAATATCATTGGTGGATTAGGAGTTAGGTTTAGGACTAAGGTGTCAATTGAGGATGGGTTAGGTTGAGGGTAAGGGTCAGGGTTAGGATATAGAAATGAATGAAAAATGAATGGAAGTTAATACGAAGTCCATGTAAAGATAGCAAGACAAATCTGTGTGGGTGTGTGATGCAGATTCAACACTGACATGTTTCCATGGCAGGGGCTCGTCCTCTTGCATCAGCTGGGACCAGTCCAGGGACAGAATCTTCCGTGACTTCTTTGAGGTCTGTGATCTCCTGGGATCTGCAGGCTGAAGGCAAAGATAAAATATAGAAATCATCTCAGGGCAATACAAAATTTGTCTCCGATTCCTTCACATTCAGAAAGGGGAAAAAACATTTTCTGCATGGCGTGGCATTGAATGCACCTACCCCGTGGAGATGAGATGGGAAACGGAAGACTGAAGGAACAGTTCCAGCTCTGACCCGGACTCTCTGACCCGTCCTGTCAAGGTTTTCTGGTCTAAAATGGTCACTGCAGAGCACGGATGAAGTACTAGCAGAAAACCCGACCCTTCTGACAGCTGCTTCCCATCGCTTTCTCAGCTCTTCATCTTTGGGAAACCTGCATGTATGAACAAAGACTGCTGAGCAACTCAAAGCAAGTTACTTTTATAATAATATAATGGCCAAATACAATACAGTACAATACAATACAACTTCATTTATAAAGCTCTTTAAAAACACCACCATTGGCCAAAGTGCTGTACACCAACACATACAAGCAACTAGCATACAAACCATAAAATCAACCAAAATCATAAAACAGCAAACAGTCAAAACAATAAAACAAATAACTTAAAAAACAGTAAAACCAGCATTTCGAGCCGAGTTAAAAGCCAAAGAGAATAAATGTTTCTCCAGAGAAGATATAAAAACAGGAAGTGATGTCAAAGGCAACTCGTCCCACAGTTTAGGGGCAGCAACTGAGAACGCTCTCAGCCTCCTGTTGGACTTTGGGACGACCAACAGCAGCTGATCTGCTGACCTCAGAGAGCGTGAGGGAACGCACAGCTGGAGCAGGTCGGACAGATACTGTGGGGCGACACCATGAAGACATTTGAAAACAAATAAAAGAACCTTAAAATTTATCTGGAAACGAACTGGGAGCCAGTGTAGAGATTCTAGAACAGGGGTGATGTGCTCTCGTTTTCTGGTACCAGTTAAAAGGCGAGCAGCAGCATTCTGAACCAGCTGTAGTCGAGTCAGTAATGACTGGCTCAGAAGCAACTTAAAGTGAGTTACAACAGTAATTATCACAAGTATATTTTCATTCTTACCTGTGAAAGGTAATGCCATTAGATCTGGACTGTGCTGTAAACTGGTTGGTACAATTCCACGCAGCACATGAACTAGGCATCTTTGATTCGCCACAATCAACATGGCGGAGACACTCAATGAGCCGCGTGCATCCTGTAAACTGTCCGGGTGCTATAGTGGACCTTTGCAATGATTCCTTCTCCACAACTGCAGGGTCTGGAGCCAAGGCATAATCATGTTCCTTAGAGAGGTCTGCGACTGGTGTGTTATCCTCCTCGCTGTCCTCTAGCGGTGGTCTTTGCTTTCTCTCCCAAACCCCCGGTCGTGGAAGGGAGAAATTATTCCACTCGAACAATGCTGGTACAGCTCCCTTTTTTAACCGCCGTCTTCCAGTTTCTGACGCTGGGTCTTGAATATCCTCGGGTTTGAAATGCCGGCTACAAACCCGAGTGTGAGCTTTAATGGCGAAGTCTTTCCTGCAGATAGCCACGATCCATTGTCGCCTCAACTCCTTATCAGTAGGAAAATGGAAAAAACTAAGCACTCTATTATACCTGCTATTCACTGGACACAACGGCACACAACAAAACTCAGCTGTTGTGCCAGTAGAGCGGAGATATTTAAACTTCTGAGTCTTCTTCATGGTACAACTCTTGCAGCTACCGCTAACAACTGTGAGTAGCAAGAGGCAACCGGAAATGACCCATGTGGCCTAAATTTAAACGATAGTGTCACCACTACTGTGTGGCACACAACCTTGTCCAGATATAATTTAACCTTTCTGTATTATGGAAGGAAAGGTCATCGTTTAAGAAGTACTTTTAAGTGCAGAATATACAAAGTCCAGCTCCTTTGTCGAAATAGCAATTGTTTTTCTTAGCACCATGCTAAACGCAAATGCTAAGCTAACAGTTCGTTGTTTTCTCTTTTATTAATCCTGGCATTGTTTATACCAGCTGTCTGGTTTACTGTACCACGATCTTCCGGCTGATGAACTCGGAGGGATTTATTCTTCTTCTCTAAAGGCAGAGTTTAGCTTTGTTCTGCTGAAGATAATCCTCATCTTTCATCTAAAACCAACTGGGAGAATCGCTTGAGATGAAGTAGGCCTTAAAGCATCACCTCAAACGAGTAGGACCTCAGTGTACTCGCCTCAAACCATAGACATCATATAAACACTAGATACCGCATTGACGCTATCACGTATTGGCGCTGACGAGCTGTAGAGCCGCCATCTTGGAACGGTCGACCGCTCCACTCAGTGTAACCTGTTTGACAGGAGCTGTAATGCTAATACAGTACTACTAGTACTACTACTACTACTACTACTACTACTACTAATAATAATAATAATAATAATAATAATAATAATAATAATAATAATGTGTTACATTATGTATAATTTCATTTCCACTAGTAAGTGTGTACTTGTGTTGGTCTCTCAAAGAAAATTACAATGAAATTGTTTTTGGTTGTAATGTGACAAAATATACAATGACTCAAAGCGTATTAATTTTTTTCAGAGGCATAACGTAATATTTAGATTTTACAACTCTGACCTGGTGTAAAATCTGATGTCTTCTGGTGACGTAGAAAAACGTTCCAGTCCAAACGGCTTTTGAAGACTACAGGATCGGAGCTGCTCTTTCAGTTGCTCAATTTCTCTCAGCATGCTGTGATATTGCTCCCGGTCAACACACACGGTTCTGCTGGCGCCGTAGTCATGGTCCACGACCATAGGTACCATGACGGGTGGTTCATTGTCCTCAATTGGATCCGCCGAATCAGGTTCTGGATTAGATGGTCGACAACGGCGCTCCCAAACACCTGCTCGTGTCTTCCTGCTGTATTTGTTCCACTCAAATAATGATGGAACCGACCCAGCTGCTAAAATTCGTCTTCCCTTTTCTGTAGTAATTACTTCATTCTCCAGGAAATGTCGGCTACATACCTTGGTGTGAGGAGTTACCGTAAATCCCTCTCTTCTGATTTTTTGCAGCCAGCACAAACAAAGGCTTGTCTCCTTAGGGAAACGGTGAAAGCTCAAACGGCTATTATAGCGACCTGAAGACGAGCAAAGCGGCACACAACAGTGCTCCTTAGACCCAAACACCGTCGGCTGAAATCTAAAGCTGCCACGCACGTTATATTTTTGTTTATTTGACGCAGCAACACTCATTTTAGTTGTTTACCTCTGGGATGACAGGATACAGGAATTAAACCGGAAACTGGAATGCCGAGATCCGGTCAAAGCGGAAGTGATTCAGGACGCATGTGCACAGAGCCAGAGTATCAGTCAGATACTAAACTCATTCTCACGATTTTTTCCTCTGTAAATCTTAGGAGTACAGCCATTAAAGCTGAACACATGGTTCAGTGTATTTAAATATTCTTGGTGGGGTTAACATTACCAC